CTGTGCCGGGCCTTGCCGGTGTGTCCCCGTCGGGTCAAGCGTTTCCGTGCCGGTGTAAAACACGTGGAAGTAGTTGTGCTGTTGTCGTGCAGATGATGCGGGTGAAGGTGGCCGCCTGCGACCAGTACTCGACGTGTGCGGAGTGCCTGGCTGCCGCCGACGCTTACTGCGGGTGGTGCACGATGGAGACCAGGTAGGACTGTTGTGTCCGAGAGTGCTTTGCTGCCTCCTTTGGCGCTTGAGCCCGAGCAAGAGTTTCTGCTGCCTTTTACATTGCTACACAGCCACAATACCATCAGTCTTTATCCATCTCTTATGAAATACGTGCTTTTAATAACAAAAGCATCTGGTTGCCGACGGTTGGGGTGCTCTTAGGGTTTAACTGTAGCTGCATTGTTGTGCTGCAGTCGGCTGCCAGTGCAAAGAATATCTTGCTGGCATCCAACCACGGGACCAAGAGCTCCAGCGCCCTGTTAAAGGATGTCTTTTGCCCTGGCAATTATCGTGTATGTGTGGGAGACAATCGACACCCCAAAAGGGATTTGCAAAGTTAGACTCTATGTTTACGAATGGCAGAAATTACACAAAATGTCACCGTCTCCTCTTTGTTCCTGGGTTCAGCCTGCCCTGCTCGCCCGAGCCCCGAGCCCTGCAGCTCGGCTGACACGGCTGGGAGCTCGTGCTCAGGGGGGGCACCCAGACGCTCCAAACACAGCAGCGAAGCTGTAGGCTTAGCTGCATGGATGGAGGAAAAAGGTGTAGGTGCAAGATTTTCTCAGAATCTTGCCTTACAGGGAAGTAAATGTTTTTGCCACCTGTTTTAAAAATAGCCAGCTACAAATGTGTTCCCCCGTTCGTTGCAGGTGTTCTCTGCAGCACGAGTGCACGAACTTCACAGGGGCCAACTTCTGGGCGAGCGCCAGCGAGGGAGTGCAGCAGTGCCCTTCCATGACCATCCTGGAGCCCGAGATTAATATCGACACAGAGAACCTGGTGCGTTTGGTGTGAGCACCAGATTAATCACGGGCTGTGTCTGTAGAGTCGTTCCCTCCCTTGGGGCGGATAAATGCCCTGGCTGAGTCACAGCTTCGAACTCACAGTGCCTAAAGGGAAAGAAGGCGGTTACCTGTGGGCTTGCTTTGAGTCGCTGCCCTCTGAAAAGCTTGTGAAATGCTGACAAATTCTAAATATAATTTTGTCTGATAGTAACTGATTTGTTTTTCTGTCTGATGTAGGCTCTGATAATACAAATAAATGGGACTATCCCGAACCTGAATGGAACAAATATTTCATGTGACTATGGAAATAATATCCACACAGTAGCCAGAGTTGCTGGAGATTATGCAAACCAGTTTATTTATTGCAGTTTACTTCCACGTGAGAAATATCCAGCGTTTCCAGATGACCAAGGTATGTAGAAGAAAAGAAGCTCAGTTTGTTTTAACTACTTTCATGGACACAATTTTTCATAGACTTTTTTGTTTTTCCTATTGTACGTGCAGATAATGCATCCAGGGAAAAAAAAGGCCTAAGCTGCTTCTTTTTTATAGGGCATATGTTTTTAAAGCATAGGTTTTCCACCGTCTTAACATGAATTGACAGTATTTCGGATCTATCCATTTTTGTTTTAAACATCAGAATTTAAAAGCCAGTTCATGTACTTATTTTATTAAGATTTATCTGTTTTGAGCTTCTGCTTTAGATCTAGTAAGTACCGAAACAAAAATGTTTTAGCCCTGGGGAAATAATGTTGTTACTTCTATTGATATTTTCAATTGCCCGTGTTTAATTTCCCTCCCGAACATGGCCTGCCTTTCAGAAGTTCTGCAGGAGCAGGCAGTGCGCACGTGAAGGCAGCTCAGGAACTCTTGATCCCATTTATGCGACAGAAAGCCAGAGCGAGGTGTTCTGGACGAGGTGGTCCCAAACTGCAGAAGTGCTCTGGCGGCTCTGGCTGAGCCCGGCCAAGCCGAGCGGGGCTGATGAGCCAGCCCCGTCTTACAGCTCCTGCTGAGGAGCTCGAGGCTTCGTCCCAGACTTAAGCGCTTGTTCAATTTTCATCTTTCAAGCCCAGAGTGAATGCTCTATTGAAGATGGCTGACTTCAGTAGGGGAAGAACCAGCCAGTCCTTTTGAAAATCCCACTTTTCATAGGCAAGTTTATAAAGCTGCATTGTTTTTCTCCCTAGCTATCCAAAGAATGGGAGATCATTAACTGTTCTGTATTGTTGGTTACAGCAATGTCCAAATGAATTTCTGGAATCCAATGCGCTGATTTATTATACATATTCTGAAAGAGGCATTGTCTCTTGTCCCTGATGCTTATATGGCAAAATTGCAAAGAAAAAAAAATTAAGCAATTTGGGGGAGAGTTAGTGTCGTGTGTTAAGTAGCCAAAAAAGGGATTTCCACTCTTCTCTGTGGGTTTGTTGTCATGGGGAAAGTGAGCGGGGTTTTAAAACATGATAACTAACATGTTTTAATTACCACGTTTTTTTTAAAAATATCATTTAACACCAACTGTAAGCGAAGACAATAATTAACTCTGCTAATTAACACTTGCAGAGCACGCTGGATTTTTCTGCTGAAAGTTGCAGTGTTCTTTTCTGGCACGGGTGGTGTAAAGCGTTGATTTAAGAGGGAAGAGCTGGGAGTCAGAGGGCAAAAGATGGATGGTCCGAGCTCTGAAATGTAGCTCGGAGGAAGCCCTGGAGAAAACAAATCAGATTTAGCCCTTGTTTTCCCAAGGGTCTGTCTTGTCTCCTAAGCGTGAGTGAGAGGCTCTCGCAACCCAATATTCTTTGGCTTGATTCTCAGACCACGTGGTCGTCGAAGCTGCTCTCCGGGTCAACAGCAAAAACATTATCCGGGCCAATTTCACCATCTACGATTGCAAAAGAACTGGAAACATTTACCCCAAGAGAGCGTGAGTGACCGTGGGGCGCGGGGGCACCGTGGCGCTGGCAGCAGGAGGAGTGAGGTGGGGCCGGGCAAGGGTCCCCCCAGGCAGGGTCCCCTGGGAAGTGTGGCCCCCCCTGCCCGGGGGTGGCCGGGCTTGGGCAGGGTTTGGCAGGAGGGTGGGGGCTGCGCTGCCAGGGATTTACAAAGGAGGGTCCTCACAGCATCTCGAGCCATCTGGACTTGTTGGGATTTTGTTTAATGTGAATAATATTTTTGAATCAAGCTTGTTCTGTTAACCCTTAGGCAGCGGAACAGCTTTCCCCAGCAATCCCCGGGGGTCCATGGGGTGGGGAAGGAGGGAGGGATGTGTGCCCTCTGCTCTCTCGCCCCTTCCAGCCCTGAGTGGGGGCAGCTGCGGACCCTCCTCAGCACGGAGGGGTCTGGTGCCACCAACGGATGTTCACCCACCTTTCAGGGGCACAGTAGCGGAGCCCGACCGCAGGGCTCCCTGCGCCCTGCCCGCTGGTGGGCCTTCGTCAGGTGCGAGTGTGCCTGGGTCCCCAGAGAGATGGATGCCAGAAAGTGTTGTGAGGGAAATGAGCGTTTTTGGCTCAGCGCGGGAGGGTGACGCCCTGGAGCTGCCCACGCATGCCACAGGGGAAGGTGGGCTCTGCCTGCGTCCTGCCCAGCTGCCAGCGAGAGGAAAACCCAGCAGCTGCCGCGGGGTTTTCGGGACACCATTAAAGACCAAAGACAATGTATGAAAATTGGTTGCGCGGCCGAGGTTTGGCTCCCCTGAGCAGCCTGAAATCTGCTGTTTCACAGTGCCTTTGCCCTTGCAGATGCACCAGCTGCCTCTCGACCAGGTGGAAGTGCCACTGGTGCCCCTCCACCTACACCTGCGTCTCCAGCCACTTGCAGTGTGATGATGCGCTGCAGATGAAGGTAAGCACTGTGGAAATCAGCTGCTCCGTGCCGTGCCGAGAGGCGTGTGTGTGCGAGGGTGCTGGCTCAAGTATTCGGCTGTCCCTGTGCCCTCGGCGGGCTCTGTCCCTTGGCTCTTCATCAACTGTCACGTCTGGAGCAATGCCACTACTCCTCCGCGTCCTGGGCTGCCTGGCTTTGAGTAGTACAATAAACATAGAAATACCTCACAATTCATTTAGCTTTGACCAGGCTGTCACGGTACGTTAGTAATTTGCTGGAGGACCACTGGTGGTGCTCACCTAAAGGAGAAAATTGCCCCTTTCCAAATTACAGCTTTAATAACCCAAAGGCTCAGTGTGTTCCTGCTTCTGAAATTTAAATTGAAGTTAATTTAAATAAAATTGGCTTTTTAGCAATCAATCTGCTGTAGATCCAAGCCAAGCTTTTACGCTGTAAATTGAATATCTCTTAGCACCGGTGCTCGGCTCTCATCTCAGCTTTTCCAGCATTCCTGGTGCTTGTCGCCAGCAGGAGTTTGCTCCTGTGTCAGATGTGTCACCCTCACCCCTCGGGCTGACCTGGGGCCAGCCCTGGGCATCCGCCCCCCTCTGGCTGGGAGGAGGTTGGTGGCTGCAAGCCCCTGTGAAGGGGGGACATGCAGGTGTGCCACACCTTGGCATCTGCTTTGCCTCCCTGGCACTGCGCGGGACAGCGTGACACGGGGCGTTCGCCTGTCAGTGTGGCAATAGCTGCTCTTCTGACCAGAGAGAGGAAATCGGGGTTGTGGGCATGGGTCTCAAGGAGTCTCACCCAGGTGTTGTAGAGAGCTGTGCCCATTCTTCCCACTCGCTCCTGCTGCCTTGAGCAGATGGGGAGAGCCAGGGTCACCGTCTGGCAGAGATAACCTTGCCCGTCCTTAACGGTAGCCCTGCCCATCCTCGCTTTCCCCGCTCTGATCTCGACTGCAGAGGTGCGGTTCGGCTGGATGCTGCACCTGGTTTGTGCACATTCCCCTTTCATCTCTGCGCTTTAGCTCTTCCCGCTGATTTCAGAGCAGAGGCTGCAGGATGAGGTGCTGTAGCCCTGGAAACATGGTGCCTACAGCCAGAGCTTTCACTAAACAAACCACTGCTGGCGTGGCTGCACCTGAAAACCGCTCCACTGGGAAGGCAGCATCGTACTGGCTTCATCCGCAGCATTTTAAACATTCAGACCCTTTGCCCTGATCCAGACACAAATGATATAATCAGCTGGAAATCTCTATTTCTAGCCACTGATGAACAGCAGGAGAAGGGGCTGCAAGACGACAAGTTAATCAGTCCTCTAACGTGTATTTATCTAGCAAGCTATGCCAGCTGCTGTGACATGCAAGGACACACCAGGCCACGGGAGCTTTTGCATGAATTTTCAGTTGTAGTCCTGCTGCTTTTATTTTAACTCTTTTCATTCTCCTAGAAGAGGCTTGGGACTGAAATCTCTCTCCAGTGCTTTGCTTTCTTGCTTTACTTATCACATGCATCTCTGTTATTTAACCTCCTTGTTTAGGCAGCACCAGCTGTGCTTGGGTAAGATGAGTGTCCTGACAGAAACAAAGTGTGTCTTCCACAGTTAAACAGGCACTTCCAGAGAGCTCTCAGAGCTGGGTCTGGGGAAGGGAGAGAGGAACCTCACACTCACTGTGTGCGTGACACTGGGGATGTGTCCTGCCGGGCATCCCGGTGCTGTCGGGGCCGGCTTTGCCTCTCATCAGTGAAGCGGTGGCGTCACAGGAGGGTAACGTTTAGTGCAAGTGGGAAGGAGATCTCGCCTGCTGCAAATTATTCTGCATAATGGATCAAATATTTTGTTGTCTTTTACGCCAGTGGCTCCACTGTCAAAGGCATTAAGCTGGATATACCCTGGGGCAACGGAGAATCTGGCTTCATTTTTTTGTGTAGTTTTGCAGTGGGATTTATATCTCATGAGAGAACAGGATGGGCTTGTCATACAGACTTGAATTCTGAGTCAGCTCCAGTATGTGAGCCATCAGTTTATAGTGAGAACAAAAGTAGGGGACAGATGACCTTTTAAAACCATTTTTCAGCTTCATTTAGGCCTTTCATTTCAGCTGTCCTACTGCTGCAGTCCCCTCGCCGAAGCCCCCATAGCTCATTATAGCCTTTCTTCTGCGCGCACACACGCACACCCCCGCGCGCTTCTGAAACGACACTGGGCAGGAGGGAGACCAGCAGAGAGTGAAATCTCCGCAGGGGCTTGCCGGAGTGCGCGCGGTGATGCGCGAGAGAGCGGCTTCCAGCTGGCAGGAGCGGGCACGCCGGCAGATTTGCCGTTGTCGGCTGCAGGGTTTCCTTTTAGTGCTGCTCCGGCCCATCCTCTACCATGAAAGTCTGTGTAATGAGGGAGCTGCCCGCAGTGGCAGCTGAGCCGTGCCTGTGCGCTTGCGTTTTACCTGGGAGTATGTTTCTTCCAGGGCAGGAA